ACAAAACAGTATGCTAAGGTCTCCTTCAAGTTATGTAGAAGAGCTATATTTCAACATTGGTCTAAGATCTTTTTACTCAAAATAAATAGGAAATCAAGTGTCTTTCATTATAAACTGTAAGCTTCAGTTGATAGCAGTCTTAGAAATCATGTAAAGTAAAAATTTATTCTGCCCAATGTTATAATACTTCAGAATATTAGTATTAGATAAATAATCTGATTTGATTCTAAATGGTGATATGTTAACATAATAGAACATCTCTAAAATGATAATATAATTTGTAGAAAAGTTGGTAATAGTATTAACTTCTATCCTCCATGGCATATTCAGTGGATCATTGTAAAGATATTAGCAAAATATTCTTGTCAATTTTTGTAGACTTGAACATATATGGGCTAATTTCAATGTAAACATTAACATCTCTATAAAAGCAGTATCTTTCAAAAGGATGAAGTTGAACAAAGCAAACATGAACAAGTTTGGAAGTAACAGAACTTCCTCTTTGTTGATTTGCTTCATTTATGCTTTAGGTATTTTACAAATCACACATGGACATCCAACAGCCACAGGACACTATAAAGACAAAACTTACTGCTATTTTAAAAATATATGCTAAATCTTCTCAATAACTCATTTGACATAATACAAAAATGACATCACTTTGTAGCACTGCAATAATTCAAGTCATCCTAATTCAACTTATTGCAGAAAATGTTCACCTTACATAGCCATTAATCTCAAGGTGGCTTTAATCAGTATGTTTCAGAAAATACATAGAAAGAGCACAATTCCATGCATCACTAGCACTTTTCAAATGGCAGCTGTCCACCTTCTTTCCTTGGTCAAGAGGAGGGAAGAAAGAGAGAGAACTGGTACAGAGGAACTTCTCTCTGGAAAGATTTGGCCTTGGAGTAAGGGCTTTTGAGATGTGCTAGTGATCTTGGATCGATGCCGTTTTATTTTCTTTCAGGAATAAATCTGAGCAATGGAATGGCTTGCAATTGTTCAGCCAACCAGCCATATCAGATTTATCAGAAAGAGAGAATGAAATCTGGCTCAGAGGACTCCTCCTGCAGTGGCTGAGTGGCAGGTTGCTGGGAAAGACACACAAAAAAATGAATGCACTTAGTGGTAGAAAGGAAAATATATATTCACATGTGTAAACTCAATAAATAATAAGATGTAAAGAATCTATAGTAATGGAAAAGGTGAATGCAAAAGACAGAAGATAAATAGTACTTCTATTTAAGAACCAAAGGGATGAAAGCTCATGAATACTAAATAATTGAATCCACTTTAAGGAGGAAATATGATTTTCCATCAAATAAATGCAAACTCTAAAAATCAGCCAATGCTAACTTAATGTGTTCAAGTTAGAATAAAAAACACATAAATCTTCCATGAAGTACATGCCTTGGTAAATATTCTAATGTAATTTCTTAATTAAAACACATTTCCAGTGACTAAATGAAAATATATATATATATATATATACACATATAACTCCATAAGTGCCTTGATTTTTTTTAAAAAAAATGACTTTCTATGCATGCATGATTGAAATAAGGGCAGATGAATTTAAGGGGGAAAAATAGGAACCATGACATAACCAGTTATTCCATTTCATCATAACAATACAAAGTAATAGCATTTTCAATTAATTTGCAGTTATAATAGGTATTAATTTATTTAGCAGTATCCTGAAGAGAAAAATACCTTCTTGTACAAAGCTCTTTTACATATATAAGAATTTCAAATTAAAAGAAGATAGGGGATAGTGTATTCATGCCTGTGCTTGCAGTAAACACTCACGTAAGAAAAAAAAAAGGACTGATGCTATTTGAAAATATATTTAACATCTTTTTGTGCCATTTAAGTTTTAGGACATTTTCTTTACATATGTAAAAATCAACCCTAAATCTGGAGGTACAATAATATAGTTTTAATATATATAGGAAAGAAGATGTTCTTTTATAAAAATGAAAGCTGGACTGTGTTCCCTGCAAATAAGAAATGGGAACTCTATTTGTTCATCACATATTTATTAATGTCTGTATGAGTGCCACTTCAATACCACTATATATTTTATTTCAATACAAAGGTAATATTGATATTTTCCCATCAAAAGAAGAGGACAATTTTTAGAATCACTTCTTGGAGTGGTAAAGGCCTTATAATTGTCATATAAATGGCCTTTGGCTATAATGTTTCAGATAAAATGAATCACTAGAAATGAGACAAAGTCTTTCAGAATTTTTTTTTAAAAAATCCTCTAAAGCTGATTTTTTTCCCAAGTCCAAAATTTTTTAAAAAATCTCTTGTTACATTTTTCTAAGAAATATCTTAAATATCGAGATAACAGAATCCCCCACCCTACAATTTTATTCTGTTCACATAGAGCAGTAAATAAGGTGCATTCCTTCTGCTTAAAAAATTAGCATTTCAAAAATATGCCACTTTCCCCTGAACTCCAAGCGTGTCTAATAATGCGAGAAGCAGATTGTCTTCCCTCGTTTCCTTAATTTGTTTCATCTAAAAGCAATTCACTCAACATCTTGTCGCCCTCTGGCAGCTTAGTTTACTTATCCGCACTTAATTTCTCATTTGGACCAAAACAAACTCCTCCAAACTGCTACTGACTGCTAACCGCGAGAGGGGAGACGCGCGATACGTATTTACTTGGGAAAACACAGCCACACACATACGCAGGCACAAACATACAGCGCCACACACCCCAGACAGCAACTTGTTTTTATAATAGCACTACGTTAAAACCAGCTGAACTTTCCCTGCCAGGTGGAGGAGAATGGAAAGAAAAAAAAAAAAGTCCCTGGGGGCATTTACAGTTTCCAAAGGATCACCTTAGTATTCGTGTTGCAATTATGCCAGGGATGCACCCGAGAGCTTTCCTTTGTGCGGCCCTTTCATCTAGATCACTTTGTGTTTTGAACAAGTGAGGCTCGCTTTTGTGCCCCCAGAATTTCAAGTACAGAGTCACTCACACACGGAACAACAATAGCACGCTAATCCTCGCGCTCTAAATGGGCTCACTTGTGGGTCTGACGATTCGCCCAGGGAAAGGAGAAGAGACTAGCAAGGGCGCGAGCTGGTGTCGCCTGAGACGAGGAAGAGGACAGCTGCAGAACTAATTTGGATTACATTCCTTGCAGAAATTCTGAAAAGGGCTTTTAGGCATAGCTCGACCGGGGAGCCGCACAGTTAATACCAAATTGCTGCGGACTCGGAGCTGGGTCCCCCAGCGGCAGGGCTGAACCAGACAGCCCCCAGTAGGTCGCCTCGTAGAAATTCCTCTCGGCTAAGCCTGCGTGTCAGTCGCAACTGCTTTTGAATGGGTCAATGTGCATAATCAACCCATTGAGAGAAAATATGAAGGGACTCGGGGTGCGGAGGGAGATAAAAAGGGATGTGTCTAAGAGGCCTCCTGCAATCTCAAGTCCGAGTTGGTGCAATTCTTGAGGTGGTGGAGCGCGGGACCTGGTATGCATGAAGAATTTCGAAGTAATTGGGAGGGTGCGAATGGCCTGCACAAATGTCGCACATGTGCCTTTCGAAGGTCATTTTGAAAGGCTCAATGACTGTAACTTGTTATTTACTAGGCGGGGGGTGGGGGTTATGGCGGGGGCGGAGCGGGAAAACTACCGCGCACTGTTTTCTTGGTGAGGTCAGAAGGACACCCTCCGGGGGCCTAAAGCTCTCCCTATCGCCACTCCCTGAGGCTTTTATCTCCTCGAACTGCCTCCCACGCTCCCACCACCAGCCCTGGATGGTTCCGGAAATCTTCCTGCCACTCCAAAAGCCTCCCCTTGGCCGCGGCAGACACCGATTCTCCTTAGTCCTGTCCGGTCCCACTTTTATCCCCAGGAAACTCAAAGTGCCAGAAACTTTGAGCTCCCTCTCACTGCAGGTGCTGTCATTAGCCCTGCCCGCCGCGTCGCGCCAGCCCCTCTGTTTGGCGTCTCTGGGTCAATTAGCCCTTGGCCTGTCCAAATACCTGGGGCTCAAGATCTCCAGCAAACAGTGACCGTGCGCCCAGCGCTGCCGCCGCGCCTGCCTCGGGTTAAATCAATTCGCGCGACCGGCAGGCTCCGCAACCCGACCGGGCAGTAAACAGAAGTTGGAGGGACTCCGGCCAATAGCAAGTTGAACTACAGGAAGAACTCTTCCTGGAGCCAAACACAGCAACCGACGGGAAGGCCCGGCTCTTAGTTCCACCGTGCCACCCTCTCCACCCCCCTTTTTTCTTTTTTCCTTAAAGAGGTCAGTCAGGCAAGCAAGCGTCCCTCAAGTCAGTCGGGCGAAAGCTCTGGGACGCTGACCAAGGAAGCCCAGAGCTCCCGGCCTCAGGCCGAGGCGCGCCCGCCTGCTGAGCTCCAGCTGCCCAGGCTGGGTTCTTGTCACGTCTGACCCCGCAAAGCTCCGGCGATTGGGGGCGCAGCGACCGTCCATACAGGTGCAAAGCCCGGCTCTATTGCTCCACTCTCACAGCCTCCTCTCAGGAGGGGCCCAGCAAGATCAGCCCCGTGACCCTAGCCTTTCAGCAGCCTCGGAGGTGCGCTCTTCTCGGAGGTTGCCTCCCTCCAGGGCCCAGAGAGGGAGAGTGCAGTCTCCTCTGAGGGGGTCTGGGTTTCCCATGTCCCGAACAACAGGCACGACTAGAAGGGATCCCGCTTAGGCACACAGAAAACGCGCGAGAGAGAAACAAGAAGGTTAAGAACAGAGTGGGGGAAAGGAACAGAGGCACACAGTAATTTTTCACGATAAATAAAATACATACACACAAATACAAGGTAAGTTTGGGATGGAGAGAGGAGCGACCGAAAGCCCAAGCAAGAGGCCCTGGTCGAGCGGTCCCTCCAACGCCTGGGAGCGAGTGGGTATCCGGATGGGCAAAGAGAACGAGGGAGCCACATCACACGAGACAGCCAAGCAGGCGGCAAGCAGGTTCAACAGCTGGAGCGCGAGAAAGAACCGCGACCCACCTGATTGAGAAGCGCTGGGCTGGACGGTCCCTGCCGCCAAGAGAAGGCTCACCCAGACCCACAGTCCTGTCGCCAGCTTCATTTTTTGGAAGTCTCAGATCCCGTGCTGACAATTACATGTCCAAATGGCATATCCCCTTTCGGGCACGCGGAGGAGATCCTCCAGCCAGGCGCGCGTGGGGGCGCGAAGGGGGCAGGCGCGGCGCGCTCTGTGCACCGGCTCTCTGGGTTGGCGACCCAGTCCGCGCTTGCGGGTCCAGGGCCGGGGTCCGGAGGAGGGGTTGAAGTGTGCGCGTGAGTGTGCGTGCGAGTGGGAGTGTGCTCGAATGTCTGCGCCTGGTGCTCCGGGGCCGGACTGTGCAGCTATTTCCCCGGGTGCGCCTTTGCTCTCTCGCTCCCTCCTCACTTTCTCTCTCTCTCTCTCTCACTGGTTGGTCAACAATAAAAAGGAAGGGGGAAAAAGGTTTCCAAAAAAAGTTGATTGCAAAGAGGCGGTAGGTTTCCGGCCTCTCCCCGCAGCAGGGCTATGTTCGGCTCCCTTTTCCAGTTTCCTTGCACCTCCAGTCCAAATCGGGAGGGAAGGGGGGCGGGGGAAGCTTCTCGCTTCTCCCCCGATCCTGTCCTTCTTTTTCTTGTCAGCTTTCCTCACACTTGTCCAGCGGCTGCGGTAATTAAAGCTCCGAGCGTCATTTCCAGCGCTCCGCGGTCTCCAGCTGCAGCCCCACAGAGAAATTAATAAGACTCGGGAAAATAAGGGGGGTGGTAGGGGTGGGAATAAAACAACCCTCCATGCAACCAGGCAGGCTCTCCACAGCCGCGCAAACCCCGCCCCTGCTCTGACCCAACTAGCCACGCCCTTTCCCCCCAAAGGGAAATCTTATTGGCTCAGCCACTCCCCAAAATCCTCGTCCTCCGGAGTTGGGAAAACACCTGTCAGGGAGCGGGAGCGGAGTGGTGGGGGCGGCGGAGGCTGGATTTAAAGGGCTCACTACATACCGAAACACTCCCCTTCCCGTCCTGTCAGAGGCCCGGGACAGCTGGCCTGCGAGCAGACAGACCACCGGAGGGATGCTTGGGAAACGAATTTTTTTTGACACAAGAGAAATCATCATTTACTCCATGGCCCCAAGGTGCTCATTCCCAAACAGGACTTTCCCTAGAAATAGAAGAAAAGTTGATGATGCTTCGAGTAAATTGCCTCTGCTTCCCCACGCCCTCGTGGTCCACACTTAGGAAGCAATTTAAGTGGAAACAGTAAGGAACTGGTAGTTTCTGCAGATGCGATAATCTCTGCAGATGAGATAATGGTAGGAGAGATGGCATAATTGATTCCCACCCTCGAAAACTGACAGATACTAAGCAAAAAATTTAAAAATCCATATTTGTAGAGCCACATCATTTGACATTTAGATTTTATGGAAAATGTCATCAAGCCTAAACTATTCAGTCTGAAAGAATTTAAGGTCGTATCAGAACGTAAAGGACTTCAACTGATTAGGCTTATTCTGTAGTAGTCAGCTTTAGGCCTCTTCCTTGTTATTACTCTGCAGGCTTATGCTCCCCATTGCCATCTTTGTCTGGTGTGGGAATCTCTGAGCTTTTCTGAATTTAAAATATCCTGGGACCAGGTCATTCCAGTCTACATATCCATTATAGTTTTACAATCCTGAAACTGTACTCCGAGCAGGGACCCAAATCTTCTGGGTGTAGTAGATTATTGGTTTGCTATTTGCACAGGCATTCTATGTATAAATTCTTTTCTTTACATGGCTCCTCTAAAAGCAGCAAATATATAAATAAAATTATCAGGGGAGCTTAAAAATCAAGCCACCAGTGTGCCACCTCAATCATCATTTGAGACCTTATCCTTTGCCTCTATGCTCCTTAAGAATTTCCATGGAGCTGAGAACTGGAGGAAGAGCAGAAAGCTGGAGTCTGAAGCTTTGCCTTCCTAGGGCCCACAGCAAGTAAGAGGCCCAGTGAAGAGGCCAAACAAGCTGAGCCTGCAGTTTTAGCAGAAGCAGCCCAGGGCAGAGAGAAACTAAACTTAGAGCAGCTGATGGTGACTTGACCAGAATGGTACTGACTGCAATAGAGCCCTGTGAACAGCTCTTTGGAATTATCTTCATTTCTATCTTTACCACCCACGCCCTCTAATTTTCTTTGCTTTCATTTAATCTCATTTCAATCACCATTCTTTGTGTTCTTTTACTTCTTGTGACCTCTCCTCCATAAAAACTACTTCTTTTTAAAATATACATTCTACCCCTATAATAACAATGTAAGTAACAAACTGTTTTCTTGAAAAATGTTAAATTTAAAAGTCCAGTGTCTCATGCCAATTATCTTGCAAGAGGTGAAGAAATTAGTTGTGTATTTTAGCATCAATTGTGAGGAAAAAAAGTAAATGGTGTGAATATTTTAAATTTTTTTCTAGTGTCCATTGTTATAGTTACTCCCACACCGATTTTATGGTTTTTCTATGTCAGAAACTCTATATGTACCCTTATCTTACCCAGAATTTCTAGAATAATTCTTGGCTAAGGAGGATTTTCAATTAACAATCATAGGTTTAGAAAACACTTGGTCTATATTTTTGTGTACAGCAAACAGTCCATACGTGGTTTCCACCAATTAAGTTGGTTGGAAACCAGTTTAAACCCAATGTACCATAATTTGCCTTAGCCCTTATTTTCCTATCTCTAACTTATTGAAACAATGATTAGAGCCTGGCCAGAGGTAATCAGGAGCCTGTGAAATGAATCTACATTAAAGCTCTAATAAAGCATCCTACATTTGATGGTGACTGGTCTACCTAGTCATAGTCTGTCTCAGATGACTTGATTATGAGAATGAGAAATCTGGGTCAGTGGTGAACCCCTGTAATCTCAGCTACTCAGGAAGCTGGGGCAGGAGGAACATGAGATCAAGGCCTGGGAAATATAGAAAGACCAAGGAAGGAAGGAAGGAAGGAAGAAAGGAAGGAAGGAAGGAAGGAAGGAAGGAAGGAAGGAAGGGAGGGAGGTAGGTAAAATGAATGAATGTCACCTAGAAATGTAGACAGAAAGGTGATTCCCTCTGTGATTACCCAGAATGATGAGAAAATAGAAGTCTTACACTAGAATCAAGAATTAGGTCTTCCTGTGTCCTCTATCATCTGATTCCCAACTCAACTGAGTCATCATGAGAAAAGAACATCATAATCGGGAACATTTTCTACCTTACATGGGAAGGACATGCTAACTGGGTTGCAACATGCCAAGATGGATCTCTGCATTTCTTCATTTTCCCCATGTGTCTATAATAAAACCTTATCTATTATCTAAAATGTGCTGCTATTACTTGCAACCTGAAAGAAAATCTGAGTAATGCAACATATTACTTAGCAAACCGCAAATACCTGAAACTATCTGCTGAATATCCCTTTTCTAGGAACTCTCCCTTCTCTTAGTTCTACATTTTTAATCTGGCTATACTTCCATAAAAAGACCACCCTTAGTCCCTGGTTGTAAGTTGGATCACTCAAAACCAAGTTAGAAAAATCAAAATACTTTATTTGCTATTGACTAGAGGAGAGATGGATTTTGGGGCCTGGGAATGAAAAGGTTCATATTAAGCTTTCACTGGTCGTTTTGAGATCTTAAACTCCAGACTGGCCTGTCCATGTTTCCTTCTGTGTAGGAATGACCAACATACAGAAATAATAATGTTGCCATTTGAAAGAAGAAAAAGCCCAGATGGTTCTTGACAGTATTCAACTTCTTCCTGTGGCTTAATTGTTAACATCCCTATTTCCTTAAGTTAGTTCAATTTCCCTTTTTATTACCTGAAATTAGAACAATGTGATGTGAGAAAATAACTTTTCAATATGAGTGAGGTTGAATACGCCATCAAGCTCTTTGAGGAAGATATTTTGACATGGCCCATATTCTTCAGTGTCCTTTCCTCATCTCTCATGATTTCCCTTGATTGAAGCCATAATCACAACAGTGATGTCCTTGTCCTATGCTGCTTTCCCATATCTCCTTCCTCATCATTTATTCCATTAATAATAGAGTTCAAGGAGTGTCTTGACATAATGAGTGACAGAATGTCTCCAGTGGTGGAAAGGAATACATAGAACTCAGAGTTCAATGTTAAATAATATCCTTTCATTGTCCCATAGTGTCATTGTTCTTGCTAATCATCAGGTTGTTTTCAAGATTTCCCTAAAGATCAGCTTAGAGAATGCTATTGGCCAAAGATATAAACTTGAATCAAGTATTGAATAAGAAAATGAGGTCCTATTATAAGTCACTTATCTTCTCCTGATTCTAATTTTACTTCCTGGCCATGATCATCTATCTCATTACCTTTCTAAGTTATCTTGTGATCAGAACAGCTCACTTCATATCCCTGTGCCCATTTCCTCTTCTTTAAAGGAAGGGGTTGTTATGTCCAAATATGACTTTGTGAGTCTATGATTTACCATCCAACCTACTAAGAGGTTACAATATCCATACACTTGAGCTATTTCTTACATTCCTCCCAATTTTCCCAGCTCCCCATGCATATCTCTTCATTTGTGGCCACCAATACAGATATGTCTTACAGTATCAATGCTGTCTTGAGCTGTTATAATAAACACCACGGACTGGGTGACTGATACAACATTTATTTCTCCAAGTTATGGAAGTGGGGAAGTCCAAGATAAAGTTGCTGAGTTGGTTTCTGCTGAGGGAGTCTCTTCAGGGTCAACTGATGGACTCCTTGTTGCTGAATCCTCACAAGCAGAGAAAGAGATTGTGTCTCCCTTGTTTATTCTTGTAAAGGCACAAATCCCATTAATGAGGACTGTATTCTAATGACATAATTAACTCTCAAAGGCCTCGCTTTCAAATGCCAAAACATTGAAGATTGACTTCAACATATGAATTTTTGGGAGATGCAACGATTCATTCCATAGAAAAGCCTTTGAAAAATATCCAGATAATAAGTTCACTATTATATTTCTATGAGGTAATCAAGATTTGTATCTTTACTCTTCTAAGGGAACCTATATTATGATAAATCTAAATTATTTTCAGTATTATGATGGTCAAGCAGATGACAGACACATGTTGATGTGTTTAACTGAACATGTTAAATAACACAT